AATCAATTCTTCATTACTATCAATATTGTACAAAACCCTAATTAATATAAATTTAATCTTGATCTCAATGATGTTTACAATGAACAACAAGCATTCCATTTCAAAATTGAAAAAAAACAGAAAACATAAACTTTAAAAAAAAAACTCTTAAAAATGTCCCTCTGCAAAGACAATTGTGGTTTCTACGGCAATGACAATTACGAAGGTTATTGTTCAACATGCTATCGAAAGAGAAATGCAAAACCAGGTGATGATCAATCATCGTTATCGGTAATTAATTCTACTCCAGTTTATACTCCACCAATGCCATCTTTCTCCTCCGATGAGGAATTGGCTGTTTTTATCAAATTGATCAGTAATATGCCAGAGATAACTTCTGGAAAGATTGATAATGTGTTGCAGACTTTGAATGTTTATTTCACTGAGAAGCAGGCAAGAGAATTGTTGACTGCTATTGGAAAGGTCACCTTGGATGGAAATAATTTCATTTATCATCATGCTGTGTATTGTAGAGTGGTGGATCGTTATAATTTACAAGAATGTTTTGGAGCTGAAGGATATTATTATGTTGCACGAGGAAAGAAACCTCAAGATGATTACAAAGTATGGGATCATCAACATTCATTCTTGAAACATTAAATTTCATTACAATTTTTCATATTGAAATTATTCTATTATGAAATTAAACAAAATATTGAACATTTACTTAGTTTTAATACCGGCATTATCTTGGTGGAACATTGGCAAGACACTAGGTCTGTCCTTTCTACCTCTTCTTCTCACCATCAAAGTGAGAGAAAGACAGCAGAATCCACAAACAGCAAGCAAGAGGGCAACAATAACAAACACCCAGAATGGAACCTTTTCTCTTGGTGGTTTAGGAACTTGAGCAGCAGGAATCTTCCTGGTTTCGATTGGTTTTTCTTCCTTCTTTTCCTCAATAATATTAATCTTTTTATCTTCTTCTTCGGCAGTTCTAATTTCTTCTTCAGCAGTTTCCTCAACAGTTTCGTCATCTTCCAATCCCAAATCATTAATTTCCTTATTGTTGGTATCTTCATCAACAGTGTCCTTTTTAGAGATTGGAACAAAACCTTTTCCACTAAAAGTCATTGCAGCAAAGTAAGATTTGATAGATGTTGCAGGAAGGGTAATGGTGTATGGTGAAATACCACCAATGGCCAATAATTTTCTACCACCAGCATTCTTTTCCATTTCAGCAATAGCTTCATCAGAAAGGAAGACCCCTTCTTGATCGGTGTTTTGGCCTCCTTCGCCTTTGAGTTTAACTTCTTTAGTAAAATCAAATCTCATTACTGCATCCTTCTTGAATCTCAACTTTCTCTTTTCCTCACTGACTTCATAAATGAGATTGAGAGAACGTTCTCTAAGATCAGAAACTTCAATACCCTCAGAGAAGAGAGTACTAAAATCAATTGTTAATGGCTTAGATGGATGTAAATTTTGTAATCTAATAGCAACTTCATCAGAAGAAATACCTCTAGCCTGCAAGGAGATGATTTGAGCTGTGGATG